CAGAGACCTCAAAAGTTGTTTTTTACAAAAAATATGAACAACATATTTAATTTAATTTATATAGATTATCAGTAGATAAAGTACTTTACAAACACAAATATCATTACTATTTTTACATATTTAAAGTCACCTGTAAATGTGAAATTTCTAGACATTTCTATATTGATTTTTAGTAGAGAATTATAGTTTCAAAAATATTCACGAACTTAACTGATAGAAACTAATCAGATATATTTCTATGAGTTAGTTATTATTTTATACATAAAAATACTAAAATAAATGCTTTATTTAAAAATTACAGTTTTTAACTTGCAGTTAATATTTTAAAACTCTCACTCACACTAATGTGTACCATATTTGTGAGCCAAACATTTGAAGGATATTAAAAATGTTTGAGAGTTTGACTCCTTGGAGTCAAACTTTGAGGAGTCTGGTCTAAAGAATTGCACAATTGAACTCCTTTATGAAAAATGACATTTTGTGTATATTTTGTGTATAATTATGTTTTGCGTTTGAAATCTTCAGTAGCTTTCCGGATCTTGTTTTTCGGGTGGACTCGTACTCAACAAACTTGAGATCACTTCCCAATCCTTTAAGATTTTTGAAATATTTGTGTTTAATCAATATTTTTAATTTAGCTATAAATAGCCATCATATTTTTTAATAAAACAATGTTTACACAATTTTGAACTAAAAATATACTTAAATTGAACTCAATCATAATATTTATGACCGCAAAATGTACTCGTGATAAGTGAGCATTACACAATAAATTCCCCCTCAAATCACGTTGACCTTGATAAAGTAAAACTGATCTCGCATGCACTAAACATTATTACATTAATATATCAGTAAAGGAAGTTCAATAGGAATGGGAAGAAATATTTCCCGAAACTTAAATATTGCCGGAAAGAAGAACTTACATATGCTAAGTATTATGCTACTTAAGTAAACTTGTTTGATTCTCAATGTGGCCAAAACTAGCCTATACCCTATATGTTATAATGGATATAGGCTAGTTTTGGCCACATTGAGAATCAAACAAGTTTACTTAAGTAGCATAATACTTAGCATATGTAAGTTCTTCTTTCCGGCAATATTTCTTCCCACTCCTATTGAACACTGATATAAATAAGAGATTGCATTTTTAAAAATCTCACAATTAGTTTATTTTGAGATTCATATAAATTTTAATAATTTAAATTGATTATTTATATTAAGTATTTTAAACATTAAAATTATCTAGACTCTAGATTATACTTTTACACAAATATTAAAACAAGTAGAGGTTTTCAAAATAATTCAGTGATAAGAGTAATAAAATCTTTTTTACAAAACTTACAGTGGTATTCATAGTGTCGACTTAAGTCTTAGCTGAGTCTCACATTTTAAGTAATTGCCCAGCTCGTTTATGAAACGCATTTAATCTGAGCTGTACCTTAAAACAACGTCTAAATCTTAAAAATTTAAGTCTTATACCGATCAAACTTATCCCTGTAAGTAGGCTTCCCCTATGAAAGTGTATGGGCTCACATCGGACTGAATTTAAGATATTGTTAAAATAAAGAGTTAAGATGGTTTTGTGAAATGAGATTAGTTAAGTGGGCTAACATGCAATGTAAGGTCCAGCTCAGATTAAAATCCAAATTGTTTATGAATACCACTGTTAGTATATTTTTAAAACCGGTAAGTTGGGGCTATAAAACCATGAATATAGATTAAGGACTGGATTATCCATTCAAGAGATAGTTCGAGGGGCTTATGTCATATCTAAAGATTAAAGTCATTTTCATTCATAATATTATTGTTGGCACTCATACTATAAGTAATTGTACTATGTATACTATACTATACTATACACTGTATAGTCATCTCAGATTTGTCAATTCATATTATTGTATGCTAACATTTAAAAATAAGCATCATATTTTATAGCTTAATTAAGCTTTAATATTTGTTCATTTATCTATTATATAATTTTATAAACTTTATAATATAGAGCAGCATTTAGTGAACGTGTACATAGGCTTGATGTATCAGAATAAAATATTTTTTAAATCTAAATATTTGCTCAAAAATTCTAGAATCGGTATTAAAATTAGAATTTAATTATTCAATCTTTAGTCAAAACTGCAATTTTTGATTAAGGCTCAGTATTTATTATATATTATTTATTTTATTTATTACCGTATCTATAATTTGTTATCTATTCTACAATTGACAAGATTAGCCGTCAATCACAAAAGTACGTACGCAAAATTTTGGTCAAAACTTAAATATTGGGCCAAAATTATTAAGTATATACAAATTATTGTGTACGTATTGACTTACTTGGGAATTGCTAATTAGAGCACAATGAATTTTTAAAATATCTCAATAAATAACTATAATGGAACAAATTAAAATTTGAATTTAATCTTTAGACAATTTTTTAAACTTTATTATTTTAAGTTTAAAGATTTAGTTTAAAATTAAATTTGTTTTTATTTGAGATGTTTTTTCAATAACTTATTTAAAATATCAGATAAATGGATGGACAGTATGAGAAATCATTGAAAAGAAAATTATATTAAAAGGGGCGCCCAGGGATCGAACCTGGGGTCTCCTGATTACATGTCAGGTATCATAACATCTGTATTTGTCTCTATTATTTTTTAAATAGTATAATATGTTAAATTTTAGTTGTTCCAGCGCAATTTGTGGTAACCTGCTTATACATGACTATATATAATTGTATGAATATGATTAGAAACATACAGTACACTGTACTGGTACAGTAATAGAGAATAATATTATAATATGATTATGACGTTGATTGACACTAACTGTAGAGTATTTATATATGAAAATGATGTGAATGTGTGAATGCAGTGCCGTTTGTTGGCCCCAATTGGTGACCATATGGAGCATTGCTATAGTGTTGGTAATAATGGTTAGTGAGTCTGAGTGTCGGGACTTACATAAGCGTACATTTGCGGGGTTGGGATGTCTTGGAATCTACGATAAGGCAAAGTTTGCTCGTTTGGATCGGGTTTGCGAAGAATGCTATCAATTATACAGAGAACCAGATCTTCACACCAGTTGCAGGTATTGATCACTTTATTCACACAAATTCTTGGACTTCAATACTCACTCTAATAAGGATTCGTTTGAATAATGGAATAAACATTGAATAAACAAATCATTTATATTTATAATTCATATATTCTTTAGTTTTTTCGTGTATTTCAAGGTTTTCTATTTTGACATAAATTTATTTTAAAAATATATTTATTTTATTAGTATAATAATAATAATAGTCTATATGTTAATTCTTGGTATTCTTAGTAATTGTGCGTGCTATTTTATTGAATGTATGTTTTCAATGAATGTACTTTTCATTTATTGATTTGTATTCAAATTGAAGACAAGACTGCTTTCGAAACGAAGTGTTTGGTCGATGTGTCGATGCATTGCTTTTATCACACGAACAGAAAAAACTCGAAGAAATGGTTGAAGACTTATACGGAAAGAAATAAATTCATTGCCAACTCATTCAACTATATATTATTTATTCATTAAAATACAGTATATTTATCGTATTATTAAATTATATATGACTTAAAACATCTTTAAAAGTAATTTATATTTTATAATAAAATAAAACTGTTATTTTGAGCAAACAATCCAATTCGTATTAAAACACTAAATTCACAAAAAAAACATCAAATTATATTGAATCTATTTAATTTTCAATTTGCATGTTTTCAAGAATGTTAAAATTGAGATTTAAAATTAATTTTTGGTTACCAAGTTTTATGATTTAAGATATAATACAAGTATCTCTTGTCACAAAACGAAACATAAAACTGTAAGCTTTTTATTTTCAAAACATTTATATTGCTTATTTGTAGTCAATATAAAAGTGTTCACGATAAAAGGTTTCACCCATCTGATTGGTTTTTTGGAGTATCATATAATAATTTGATATTCTTACAAGTATCTTGGAAATTGCATAGATAAATCAATTAAAACTAATTAATAAATATTGAAAGTTATCAAAATAATTCATTTACATTTGATTTCAATCTATTCTCGTATAAGTATCCATTTTAATTTTCAAACAGACATAGTCAATCAACTATCTTGTTCATTTTCTGTTGTCACAATTATACAATCAAGTCCCTATATTTGACATAATTGGCAAGTAAACCATTTGTGCCAAAATGTTAACTACATAGCAAGGTATTTTATTCATTTTATGAAATGTTAACATGTAATATTAAAATAATAGATTGTTTTAAACGGAAAGTGCATTTAAGCTCTACTTTTGAGACGTTGGTTATTATGAGTTAGTATTTATACTTTGTATATAAATAACAATTAAAATAAACTCATTTATTGTCTCATTTAATTGAATGAAAAATTATTTTTATTGATTTAATATTAACTGTAAGACGTCCGCACAGAATATCAACAGTAGTTGAGTGCACGGCGTCTATAAATAACAATAAATCAAATCAAATCTGTTTGATAGTTATTACAGATGTGCAATTTGCAATAACACTGAATACAACAATATATTAATATTATCGGCAAATATTAATTAATGCAAATAGGGTTTTATATCTTAATTAAAATTTTGACGTTATACTTTATATTTGATTGTGTATACAATATTTGAAAATCAAAAATGAGATAGACTTTCCGTTTAAAATCACCTTGTGTACTCCAAATTTACAAAAACTATAGAAGATAATTGTATTGTGATTTTTTAGTCAAATAGTATATGAATTTAAGGTATAATTTTAAAACAGTTTCCAAATCTCTATGTGCAATATTTTTCTCTCAATTAATATTGAAAATCGTTTCACTTTTGTGTGCCCCACTGTGTGCCCCACTGTACTTACTTTATAAATACTGTAAATTAGATGTTGCATCAAATATTGTTCTATAGTACTTCTATAGTACTGTATAGAATCTATACGTACAATACTTCAGATAAGCATTAAGTAATACTGTAATATTATACACTACTGTATTGTACTAAAGTATTAACATAGACTCTATAGGGTGTATACAGTACTGTAGTATAGACATTGTGACACACTTGCTTTCACAAGACAGTGCTTTCGAGAAATGAATCAATGATTGCCTTAATTATTAAACACTTATTTCTACTTTCATTTCATTGTAATAGATTTGATTCAAAGGGAGTATAAAAATTGAAATATTTCTAAAGTTGTTTCACTAAAAATGATTGGAAACTCATTTTAAACTTTAATTATAGTAAGCATTTATGGGACAGGTTTAGCAAAAGTGTGTTAACACTGTTATGCAAACCTGTTAGCGCTCTAAACGTATGACTTCTTAGACACGAATCCAATACACTATTTGTCTCTCTCTTGAAGTGCATTCACTTTTACTCCATTCAAGTGTTATATTAATATAACTGTTAATGTTTTTATGTCTATTGAACACAAGTTTTCAAAAATGTGTAAATTTGTGCCAAAATTATTATATTCCATAATTTTTGCGATATAATAATTGTTATATCAATCGGTTTGCTTATGCCTACAGAAGTGACTTTTAAATACTTGTATAGAATGTTGTAAATGTCTGTGAGTTTAAAACACACTTTCTATTAATGATATCAATATAATGTAGTTTATATAACAGTTCAGCTTACTCCATTCACACTTATTGTATCTTTTAAATAACATTTTTATTTTTATTTACAGTTATATTAATATAAAACAAGTGATATGACTTACCAATAATAATATTCGAAAGGGAACATCTATTTAATATATTCAAAACATTTCAAATAAATTTTCAATATTGTATTTTATATTACAACAAGTACTGGTATTTGTAATATTATTTTAATCATTAAGTGGATAAATAATTTTTATATTTAAAAATTGATAAAAAACACACGATTGGGCTCAAATGTATTCATTTTAGTTATAATTTATTATTGCAAATGTGAACGAATTTATATGAATTAAATCATTCATAAAGATTTCTTTTATACTATTATCATATTTTGATAAAAAGTTTACATTTAGATAAATATTATTAAAAAGTGATGTTTAGTGCAATTGTTTAATCATCCAATCATCAATTAAACGAAACAGATCTATTTTGGCTAAACATCAAGCAAATTTTAATATTTTATACAAATGACAACACATTTATGTAGTGCTGGTATTGACATAGACATCAAAATCGACCGAAAACTACATCAGATATGTATGAATACAGTAATCATTATTAATAGTGCACTCAAAAGTTAACTTTACTTTTAATGTACTATACATGAATTGATTTTGATTTGTTGTTTACTGATTATGCAATATTATATAAATATACTTTAATATAAATACAAAATCTATGAAGAATTTTGCTTACAAATTAAGTTTTATCAATATCTCATTTCAGCTATGATTCTGAGATTAGTGTTCATTTCTATCATAACTAAAGTATCGTCGACTCAAACAGTAAATCAATCATTGATTGAAACGACAAACTTATTTATGAACACAATTGCTTGTAATTTGAGTTTAAAACAAATAATTGTCACCAATTGTGATGCAATTCTACCTGATTTCATACCATTGAATAGTGAATCCAAAGTTTGCCAAACAATGAATAATTATCTCAATTCAGAAGTTTATTATTATTTTGAACAAATCATTCAAAAGTATTGGGATATCGTGTATAATAGCAGTAAACTACAGGTTTGGGTGCTATCAGTGGTATGTTGTGTTGTGATTGGGGTCAGTACTATGTTTCCACTATTTCTCATCTCATTTTCAAACAACAATTGTCTCATAAACACTGACTCTTCGTCCAAGACTTTACTTAAATATTTGTTAAGTTTTGCTGTCGGGGGTCTTCTCGGCGATGTATTCCTACATCTATTGCCCGAAGCATCCCATCAATTGCTCAGCACTGGCATCAATGCACGTCATGTCCAGCTATACCTCGGCTTATGGACACTGATTGGCATCTTGTGTTTCGCTTTCACCGAATCCTTCTTCAGTCATATTCACAAACATAACCAACAAAGCGATGGTTCAGTCAATCACTGCTGCAATACCGATGACCAACACATCACTAATGGTATTACTCATCCAATTAATGCCTATTTTATTCTCATTTTCCCTAAATGAATGTCCAATACATTCAATGTATTGTGTATTTCAAACAACTATCATATTATAGCACATCATTTCAAAAACAGTACAGAATAGGGATTACTCGTATTATTCGGGATTATAACTAATTCTTTATCAAATTGACATTTAAACTAAGTTATTATTTGAATTAATTTAGTTGATATTTTTCTACTTTATTCACTTATCTAAGTTATAGATTATATTTAGAAATATCTTTATTTATAATTAAGTATTAGGGGTGTCAGTAATAAAACAGTATTACATTAACTTTTAAGCTGTAACTTTTAAAATATTATATTAATACAATTCAAAATACTGTATTATAAAATAGAGATAGACATAAACATAAACATAAAATAAAGACAAACTCTTTGACTAAAACCCTCAATAAATATGATTTTTATATAAAAATAAGTGATTTCATTTGGTGGGATGAGTTACCGACAAATCCCTTAAATAAGTTTACCAGTTAGATTTTTAAAATACTTTAAAAGCACCTTTAACTCCTTATTTAAAAATATTTCTGTAAATCAAATATTCCCAAAATAAAGAATTCCAAAATTATCAGGGTTAATGAAATTTCTATATCCGTATTAGAAAATCCATAAGTTGATTACACTGGTGAGAAATGTGATGTAAATGCAAATACTGTATACAATATTTACTGTATATAGAAATGTTGCACACTTTGAATGCATCGCTTATTCTATTCCATTCCATTCCATTCCATTGACGGTCAATTGGTATGACAGCACTGTAAGGAATCCTGCATTTTATACATACCCTAGCATTATAAATTAGGGACGGATCTAAAGTAATATTTTAAAATTATGAACTGTCTTAAGTTGTACCTTATATCTATATTACGGTGAAATAAATGTACTGTATTTTGTTTTAAATAAACCTTTTAAAGGGGTTTTATTGAAAAAATGGTGAGGGGGTTTAGTTTGTAAAATCAGTTGAAACCTTTGACCTGCATCGAAAACTATAATACCCTGATTCAAATATAGCTTTCAATTAAATATCTTTATGTGAAAATTACAACATTTAACAATAGAGTTAATATTATTAAACCTATTAATCTTCAAAAATGGTGAATCTTGCCAATCATAAGCGGCTCATAATCGCAATCTTATCGGAATATTCTTTTGGCTAAATTCTTACTTGTTAGTGTAGTTTATTAAGTGTGCAAGGCAAAATATATTTTTAAATGAAGTTTTTTGCCCAGAAATGGATTAAATATAAAGAATAAAAGAATCGTAAGTTAAATACCCAACTGTTACGTTGATAACTGTGACTATCTTATGTTTACTAAAACAGTATAACGCTCACAAACACAATTGGATATAAAATGAATGTAAAAGTAATAATTTATCTGATATTAGATGGGATTTGCAAGACAAAATGTGCCGGTTCATCTGAAGCATATAAAGTGAATATAATGGGATACCTGAATCTGTTGGCCAATGCGTTTGATAACCTGACGCATGGAGTGGCAGTGGGTGCGAGTTTCCTGGTGAGCATCAAAATGGGATTCCTCACCACATTCGCCATTGCCATCCATGAGATTCCTCATGAAATCGCAGACTTTGCTATACTCATAAAGTCGGGGTTTAATAAATGGCAGGCAGTCAGGGCTCAGGCATCGATCGCAGGCGTCACTGTATTTGGCTGTCTTCTCATTTTGTTGGCCGACTCTACCGATGCCATTGACATCCAAACAGTTTGGATTTTGCCGTTCACTTCGGGAGGATTTCTGTACATCTCTTTAGTCAGTATTTTACCCGAACTCTTGTCTGAAGCCAACTTCGATCACTCCATCAAACAAACCCTTTTCATAATCATTGGCGTCTCTGTCATGGCTTTTGTTAATTTGATCGCAGATTAACGGATAGTCTATATTAATAGTTCATGTAATGCCCACATATTTATCATTCAATCAACAGTTTTACTAATTTTCAAACACTTTAAGATATTATATATCAAACATTTTACATAAATCTTTTAAAATAAAATTATTCGTAGTCATTAAATTAAAGATTTTATCTGGAAAATTTAATAATTTATTTATTTTTAATTATTTCCCCTAATACTGTACAAAGATTGTGTGGTGCCATTTGATTAGCCCAATGAGTTTTGTTATACATGTATTATTTCTGTATTCAATGATTTTTATTAAAATTAATTTCAACTTAAGACTAGATTACCTATATTATTGTAATAAATCTTAATGATTATATAAATATAAATAATTACATCAAATAATTGTTTTACTTGTTAGCTACAGTAATCAAACATAAATTTAACATTCATTAATAATTAATTTATTAAATTTGGTAGTACGGTATCTGTCATGTAATAAAGTATTATAACTTACAATTATAAGAGGTAATACAGTATTTATTTAAAAATTTTTAAAACTATTCATTATTGGACAATTCAATGATTTGTACATTCAATGTACGCAATAAATTAGGAATGAATCAAACATATACAATGTTATNAAGACAATGAAAATATGGAAAAGTATATTTTCAATTTATTTTTAATCAATGTAGTTTTTAAAATAACGATTTTGAACGAACTTAGTTTCCAGCTCAATATGAAGTGTCCCATTTGATCCGAACTATTTTAAATTTAAATTAAAAATATCTACCATAATTATATCTTAACTAATAATACACCAAAGTGTTGCAAATTTATTAATATTTGGTGTACAATTTACGGAATGTTGGTAGAATTCATACCCTGGTCATAATTATAGCTTTACTGCATGCATGTCTAATCTTTATGCATAAAAAATCGTGAATTTCTTAGAGCACAAGCACTGATTCAATTGATGTGAGCATTCAGTGACAGTAGTATTACTATGGTATTACGAAAAATAGACATGCAGGCATTAAAACTAAAATTATGACCAGGGTAGGCATTTTGTGTAAATTTTATAAATCATACATAAAATATTAATAAATTTCCAACGTTTTGGCATAGTTTTGTTATAAAAATATCATTGTAAATATTTTTAATTTAAATTAAAAGTATTTCGGATCAAAATGGACACCTGTCCTGTTACTATGCGATTACTTTCAATAACAGGATTTAAACTCTTAGAAGGAATTTCTCGATACGGAAAGTTGGCAATGCTAGTATAATTTGTATGTACAGAAACTTAATCATATACTTGATAAATATGCATGGTCAAAAAGTGCGAATTCGGGCGATAAAATGGTCATTTTTGCGGTCAAGAAGTTGGCTGACATGATCATTTTTATAGAA